AAGTTTACACACACAGTACAGTGATAACATAACGACGATTGGAGAAGATAACAGCAATGATGGCAGTGATAACTAATGATGATGATGTTGGCAACAATGATGATGATGTTGGCAACAAAGATGATGATGTTGGCAACAATGATGATAATGTTGGCAACAAGGATGATGATAAAACACAAATTTAACAAGGCGATAACAAAAAACGAATGGACAAATGATAACAACATTGAAGATAATAATGATGTCAAAACATGACAACTACTTGTAAGCAGAAGGAATACGATGATGAAGTTTACCATCATATATCATACCATATATAGTATCATATTATATCATATCGTATATCGTATCATATCACATCAAAATAAATTAAAGAATGAAAAAATCAATCAGTGAGTGAATGAAAGAATGAATGAGTATATAAATGAATGACTGAACAAACAAATAAATGAGTGAATGTGCGAATGAACGAAGGAACCAAAACGAATAACACCATTGATCATATTAATATCTGAAATCAACATAAAAATGATGCAACACATGTGCGAGACATCTGAATGCAAGAAATCAACACAGTAGTCTTCAGTCATATAAGCAAATAAATATACAGAACACTACCAAATGTACATGAGCGTGAACTAGTTAGATGCAAATCTGAATACGTAAATGAGGTTCATAAAAAAAACTTTATTTGTAAAATAGCCTATGATTAACGTCAGATATGTATGTGAATGTATTAAATAAACAATAACAAATAGAGCGGGTAGACAGACGAATAAATATAGAAACATTTTTAAATAAGTTGTCCAAAGTCAGAAGTTTAGCGAATCTAGACAACATGCTGTAGTTAAACGTATGACCTTATATGACATTACATGACATTGCATAACATCAAATCCCATGAAATATCAACAACAAATCCCATAAAATCTCATGACATCAAGTTTGAAATTTGCTATGATGTGATTGATATACCATATATACATGTTCAGCCTGATACTATGGATAACTGTTTTAACAAGGGAGATTTTAATAACAAGGCTCATTTTGGTGTGGCAACTTTCAAGTGTGTGTGTGTGTGTGAGCGAATATGTGTGTGTAGACGTGAATGTGTATGTAAGCATATGAGCTAATGTGACCACATTATGTTTGCATCACATCGAAGAAAATTAACATTAACATTATTTGAACACCTCATCAGTTGATTAGGAAATTAATATTCTGAAATGGTTGATAAGAGAAGTTCACAACCACTGAAGTAACGTGATGAGTGCATGAGGATTCAGTAATAACAATTCGGATGGTATCTCAATGAATACTTGAGTTATTCATTATTAGACATAAAAGATCGACCCATTTCATAATAAAAAAAAGTATAAATCGCTCAGTCATTCACTCGGTCAGTCACTAACTCACTCGCTCGCTCATTCACTCACTCACTCACTCACTCACTCATGTAAGAAAAGATGAGATGAACTAACTCGCTCACTCGCTCGCTCACTCACTCACTCATCTAAAAAAAGATGATGATGAACAATGGACCAACTTTTTTAAATAGAGGGTGATCATTCCCTTTGGGTTGACCTCCACAGACTTCCCCCAGAACTTCAGCTTGGGGTAGATGGAACCGTGGAAGATGAAGTCAGGAGACTCCACGTGGAATGCACTGGTGGTGGTGGTGGCGATGATAATGATGAATGATGATGACAATGAAACATGATGATGGTGGCCTATGAGTATGGGATTGAAATGATGACAGAATTGAAATGAGGAAGGGATTAAAATGAGGATAGGATTGAAATGAGTATGGGATTGAAATGATGATAGGATTGAAATGATGATGGGATTGAAATGAGTATGGGATTGAAATGAGTATGGGATTGAAATGAGGATGGGATTGAAATGAGGATAAGATTGAAATGAGGATAGGATTGAAATGAGGATGGGATTGAAATGATGATAGGATTGAAATGAGGATGGGATTGAAATGAGGATGGGATTGAAATGATGATAGGATTGAAATGAGGATGGGATTGAAATGATGATGGGATGAAA